CTCCCCTTTCAACTACAGCACTGTGCCGGCTAGCCAAGCCCTGGCTTATCCCTCATGAAGACCCTTGGGTCAGTTATTCCATCCCTTGGCCCATCCTGGGCCTGCCTGACCTGTGGGGTCCACCACTGTCACCCTGAGGGCTCCTTCTCAGAGCAGGGGTGTGGGAGGGTGGGATCATTCACTGCCAGAAACATTTCGTGCAAGAAGTGAAGGATTTCATAGGTGGTTAAAATATAGTGGAGGCTGATTTATGTCTGAATTTTGTTCCAGGGCAGCAGATTATAGTCCAAGTTCTGAGGCAAAGGCAGTGTCTTTATGGCTTGCTTGGATCAGTTTTATGTCTTGGTGATTTTTATGTTTCAGTGTCCCCAAGATGCTCAAACTTTTTGTCCCATACTTCACTGGGGAACTCAGGCACCACTCCTGGAACTCCAACTCATTTTACCATAAAAAGAAAAGAAAGCAGAAGAGATGACGGGGATGTTTTTGCTTGATATTTAATCGGTATCCAGTTTTTAGCTAAATTAAATCAAATCATAAATAGATGATGAAACCACATGCGACCCTGAAGTACATGTCAGATGACATCATGAAAACAAAAGGACAGGATTCTAAATATTGTTGAATAGGAATATTCATAATATCTTGGTATCCATACTGTCTTCTTTGATGAGAAGAGATTTTTATTAAACATTAGTTTTATTAAACATTTACTAAACTAGACAAGCTCTGCTGGTACGTTTTTACCTTATGGCTACAGTGCCTTTTGTAACTGATCACACCTCCCACTTCTTTGTTCATGAGGAAGCTCAGATCTGAACTTCTGGAATTTTGGGCGTAGGCGTCCATGTGCTAGCATTTTCCCTGGCTTTATTTTGTTTTTCTACCCTTGTTTTCCCTTTGCTCTATCGCGTTATTTTTATTCCACTGTATTGTGTGCATTTTGGTGAACTACCTCAAATCCTTTTTTTGGAACACACAGGAGCATAATAAATCAATAAGTACATCCTGTGTTTGTAAATATGGCCCTTTGTTCTTTCCAGAGCGATTTTCGCATCCACTAGCGCCGTGGGTCCTCACACAGCTCTGCAAGGGGAGTCGGGCAGACCCAATCACCCCCATTTTACAGACAAGGAAGCTGAGGTACCTCCAAGCATGAAGTGGCTTACAGAGGAGGAGAGACCCACCCCTCCCTCTACATAGAAGACTGCCTGAACCCCTCTGAAGAAGGAGAAAGGAACATGAAACTAAAAGCCCATTAGGTGTCTTTTTATTAGTAGATGTAGACTGACAAGGAGAAAGCCAAGGTTGGGGTCACCAGTTAGAGAGGACACAAATTGGGGTGACCACTGGCTTCAGAGATTCCTCCAGAATCCATATCTGTGTTGCCATCTCTGCCTGCCATCCGTCTTTTCTAACCCCTCTCACTGGTCACATGGGTGGGTGGCATGTGACCCAAGCTGGGCAGCCAATCGCAGAGCCACATTCTGATTGTCTCAGAGGCCAGGACGTGAGCTGGGCCAATAGGAGTTCTTCACTGAGAGTTTTAATCTCTAGCTGGGAAATGGAATCCCGCCTGAGCTCTGGTCGCAGGGCTGTTGGGATGTGATCCTGGAGCAGCCGGCAGCAGCGCTGCCTTCCCTGAGGAGGTGCTCCCGTGGGACGTGAGAGAGGCAGGCGGCACACATGGGCAGCAGCTGGGAGATGAGAGGGGGTGCCCTACTGATGTTTGGAGCTCAGGTTGCAGGTGCCCAACTCTTGGCCCTCCCAGGAGGAAAGCCAATAAATCCCCTGTTTTGAGTAAGCTAGATTGAGTTGGGTTTCTTTCACTGAGAGCCCAAAGATGTCTTAATTCATGTGGTTTTTAGACTGATTTTTCACCCAGAAGGAATAAACCCCAAAATTCTGCTTCCCCGGAATCTAAGTTTGGGTCTCATAAGGCCATGGATCTCGAACCTCAATGTTTAGCTTATCCCAGGGGGCCTATGTCCTGTGAAGCAACAATAATAACTACCACCCCATCTTCAAGCATCTCTTTATAGCTGGGCCATAAACAAAGGCAGTGGAGCTAGTGGTTTAGAATGTGGCACCTGATTCCGTTGCTTATCAACTGTGTGATCTCAGGCCAGTACTTAACCTCCAAGTCTCAGTTTCACCACCTGTAAAATGGGGATAATAATAGTAGGTACCTCAAAAAATTCTTGTGTGGATTATCCTATATAATAAAAGCCTAATATGCTAAGTGTCCAGTTGTCCAGTCATCCGTTCAACCAATCAAAGTGTAATATGCTAATGATATGCTAAGGCCACTCAACTGCTCGCTATGACATGCACTGACCACCATGGGGCAGACAGTCAACTGATCGACCAGTCACTATGACGTGCACTGACCACCAGGGGGCAGATGCTCTGACTTGTAGGTTAGTTTGCTGCTGGGGTCTGGCCAATCGGGACTGAACGAGATGGGTGGGACATGGCCAACCTTCTGCATCCCTCCCTGGCCCTGATCATGCACCGGTGGGGTCCCTCAGCCTGGCCTGCGCCCTCTGGCAATCCAGGCTGAGGGACCCCCTCCCCCCAACCACCGAGTACATGAATTTCGTGCACTGGGCCTCTAGTACAAAATAAAAACTGTAGTTAGCATACCATAACTATAGTTTAATTTATTTAACCATCAGTCTTCCTCAAGCCCTGCTATGAAAGGCAGAACAAATATGCTCATGTCTGTTTGGCCAGTGAAGACTCTGGTGTTCAGGGGAGGTTAAGGGACCCACCCAGGTCACATAGTAAGTGCAAGAGTCTGGATTCTAGACATTGGCTTCAAATCCAGGGTCCTCTCCTCTGGACCACGTTTACATAGGGCACCGTGCTGGCTATTGTCAGCAAACCAGCCAGACAGCTTGCAAAGGTCACTGTCTCTCTAGGGACAGAGTCCATTAGAGAAGCCCATCCAGAAGGATGTGTGGTGAGGACAGGGGATTGGCATAGAAAGATGCCCAGAGAAAAGCTGCTTAAATTGGCTTCCCGGGGCACCTCCAGCCGGTGTCTGTGCACCCTCCCCTCCCTCACTGGCAGCTCCCAGCACCCACACTTCTCACATATAACTCTAGAAGATAGACTATCAGAATCAGAATGTAATATAGAGATAGCTCTAGTCCAGTGGCTCTCAACCTTGGCTGCGCATTAGAATCACCTGGGAATCTTTTTAAAATCTGGATTTCTGGGCCTCATCCTCCGGAAATTCTGTTTCTTTGTTATGGGGTGGGACCACAACATTAGTAACAAAGAAACAGAATTTCCGGAGGATGAGGCCCAGAAATTAGGATTTTATAAAGATTCCCAGGTGATTCTAATGTGCAGCCAAGGTTGAGAACCACTGCTCTAGTCCATTCATTAATTCAACAAACATTTGTTAAGCATCTAATATGCCAGGCACATAGTAGACATAATGGTGAACAAGACACAGATCAGATCTCTCATTTCACAAAGGAGAAAACTGAATCCCAGGAAGGAAGATGGCTTCTCTGAGGTCTGCAGAGAATTAGTAATGTTGTTGGACACTTTCTAGGGATACCGCCTCGTTCACAATGGCCCCCTTTTCCTGAGGTTTATGTGCTCTCACCTTCCTCTTCACAGCCGATTGGACTGGAGGAAAACAGCGGTCTGAAGCTGGGCCAATCAGGTTTCATCTCCCAGGAATTTGAACCTGGAATGAGATGCTGGTCTTAGCCCCGAGAAAAAGTCACAGAAAGAATGCAAATACTATCCATGGTCCAATTCTTGGTCTGATCCTTGGGTGTCCCACCAGCACCACCCATCCCTTTCTCTTCATTTGAGCAAATTTGAAGTTATTAATTTCTTTTTTCTTGCAACAAAAATAACCTAAACTAAGTCTGTGGCTGAGCTTGGATTAAAACCAAAGTCTCTTGGCTCCAGACCTGTTTTCTTTCTATCATGTTGGCTGGCAGCAGAGAGGCCCTTCTCAAAGATCTGTCAGAGCTCTGACCTTTGGCTGTGACCTTGGATATACCAAACAAAACCATGCCATCCAAAGAGGTTCTCAGCACTTGGGAGAATAAATCTCTGGGAGGTGCCAAGTTCCTTGAGGTGTGAATAGCAGCCGAGCCAAACTGCCCGAGTTCAAGCCAGTCCAGGTCCTCTACTCACCGGCTGTGTACCTTGGGCATGTTGCTTTTCTTCGTTTCCTCCTCTGCTATTTACCCCCATAGGTTGTTGGAAGGCTCTAACTATGTGCAAAGTGTTTAGAACAGTGTCCAACAAATGCTAGCCAACTGCTGTTACCTGCTTGTTTATATTGCATTTGCCCACAAAACATTCGCAGACCCTTAGGGTTTAGTTTTTGCTCGCTTCTCCAGCTACTGCTAGTCTCCTGAGACCCACCTGGGTGTGCTTTCATCTTAGCATAAAAACAAGTAGCATTCAAGCTCAAACCAGATGCCCACATGAAAAGCAATCAGCCTCTGACCTTTCAGCCACCTTGGTGTGTGTCTTGGACCTGAGTTAGTTGTCTCAGCTTGTACATTTCCCTGGGGCAGGAGCTGACCAGTTTGATTAAGGTTTCTCATCAAACCTTTATGTAACAATCATTTACTAAGCGCCTGCTATGTACTGAGCTCTATACTGCGGCTGGAGTACAGAGGCTCTGTGTTTGGCGACAGACTAAAAGATAAATACAATGCCATGTTACCAGCACTGTCAGAGAGGCAGACATAAGGAGCTATGGATGCGCTGAGAATGTGAATCTAGTTCAGACTGGGGAATTAGGAAAGGAGGTTCTGAGAAAAGGAAAAATGAACAAGAGTTAGACAGCAATGCAATTTCACACCCATCAGATCAGCAGACATCTGACAAAACCAAGTGTTGACAAGGAGATGGAGCCATGGAAACTCTGAGACACTGCTGGTGGAGTGTAGATTGGTACAAAGCTTTGGAAAACAAATCAGCATTAACTAGAAGAGTTGAAGAGGCATTGGTGCACCAGCTGACATATTACAAGTATGTGCTTTGTTGCAATACCAAAGATTGGAAATAACTCAAATGTCCATTGTATGAACTACTATGGCAATAATGCTGTGTAACAAATAATCCTTAAAAAACTCTCAGTGACTTATGGTATAATAACATTTACTTCTTGCTCACAGGATTTCAGGACATCTGGGGTGATTCTGCTCAGGTTCACTCTGCTCCGTGTATCTCTCATTTAGGGACTTGGGCCAAAGAGACAACAGCTTGCTGGGGGCATCCTCTTCTCAGGGCAAATGGCAGGACAGCAACAGGCCAAGTTACACAAGTATGTTCAAAACCTCTGTTTGCGCCCTAGCTGGTTTGGCTCAGTGGATAGAGCATCGCCCTGCAGACTGAAGGGTCCAGGATTCGATTACGGTCAAGGGCACATGCCTGGGTTGTGGGCTCGATCCCCAGTAGGGATAGTGCAGGAGGCAACCAATCAATGATTCTCTCTCATCATTGATGTTTCTATTTCTCTCTCCCTTCCTCTCTGAAATCAACAAAATTATATTAAAAACAAATAAACAAACAAACACCAAAAACCTCTGTTTGCGTGCATCACATTCTCTAGCATTCTGTGGGTTAAATTCTGTTAGGCCAAACCCAAAGTTAATGGGGCAGGGATATGTTCTCCAGCTTGCTGCCTGTTTTTGTAATTAAAGTTGTATTGGAACACCGTCACGTTTACTCATTTACATATTATCTATGGCTGCTTTCACACCAGAATGGCAGAGTTGAGTAGTTGCAACAGACTCTTGTGCCCACAAAATTTAAAATATTTATTATCTGTCCCTTTCAGAAAAGTTTGCTGACCTCTGATCTAGAGCTACAAACATCAACATGAATAAATCTCGCAAACATAATGTTGTATGAAGAAACACATTGCAAAGGAATGTAAACTATATGAACTATTTCCCTAAAGTTTATTTTATTTTTAAAAAAAATGTATTGATTGATTTTTAGAGAGAGGAGGGAACACCCTCGCCAGTTTGGCTCAGTGGATAGAGGGTTGGCCTGTGGACCAAAGGGTCCCGGGTTCAATTCTGGTCAAGGGCACATACCTTGGTTGCAGGCTCTTCCCTGGCCCTGGCCCTGGTCGGAGCGCACACAGGAGACAACCAACCGATGTGTCTCTCTCACGTCGATGTTTCTCTCTGTCTTTCCCTTTCTTCCATTCTCCCTAAAAATCAGTGGGGGGAAAAAATAGAGAGAGGAAGGAAGAGAGAAAGAGAGAGAAAAACATTAATTTGTTGTTCCACTTATTTATGCATTCATTGGTTGGTTCTTATATGAGCCTGACCAGGGATTGAACCCACAACCTTGATGTATCGGGATGATGCTCTAACCAACTGAGCTACCCTGATGTTTAAAAACATTCAAAATATTCAGAACAATACAATGTATTGTTTAACTATCCAAACCTATGCTGTGTAAATAGTAAACACCAAAAGCAGGATGATGATCATCCCAATAGTTGGGAAGATGGATGTGACTGGGGACAGGTGCCAGGGGCCTTCCACTGTTGGGTGATATTTTATCTCTGAAGTGATGGTGGCAGTCCACGGGTATTAATTGCACGATTACTTACAGCTTCAGTAGGTCGTACATATTTCATAATAGAAAAAAAAATGAGTTAGGGGAGCACAGAAGATGGGTGAAGAGTGTTCTAGGCCCAGGACCCAGGAGGCAAAGATGATAGCGTGAGGAAGACTAGAATGACTGAGCATGAAAGGCATGGAAAAGGAGGAAACAAGGAGAGGCGGCTGGGAGGCAGGTGGAGTCTCTGGATTATTCTAAAAAGTTTGGTTTCTTACCAAGGCAGAGAGGAGTAATTGGGCAGTTCTGAGCTCCAATGGCACCCTGATCAGATTTGAGATTTAGAAGCATCAGGCTGGCTGCAGATGGCGAGGGGCAGAGCTGTAACAGGACCCTGTGGCTGAGCACCATCTTATGTTCTGCCCCCCAGGGGCCTCGCTCCCCTCACTCTACTCCCAGCCCTGGTCTGAAAGGGACCAGGGTAAGAGGCGGTGGGATGGTCCAGGGCTGAGCCAAAGCAGGCACAGTGAGGACGGAAAGGAGGGGGCATTTTGGAGAGCTATGAAGAAGGTGATTTTAAAAAGAATGTGGAGAGTAGGTAAGGGGGAGAGTCCAGGAAGCCACCCACCTTTCTGCCTTGGACCAGCGGATGGTGTTGCCATTGGCTGGGACAGGAAAGCCAGGCAGAGTGGCTGATTTGGGAAGAACAATGGTGAGTTCAGTGGAGTGGTAGCCCCGAGGGGTTATAGATGGGGCGGAAGGGCAGGTGGGTGGTTGAGGGAGCCTGAAGGTCTTTGTTTTCTTTGTGCTACAAAAGGGGTGCAGTGGGATTGGATGGGCACGGCAGACACTGTATGTCATATACCCCACACGATTTCTCCTTCCTTGCGGGACTAACTCGTCTCCTCCAGGAGTCGATGTGCTCAGCCTGAGATAAGTCATGATCGGTACAGATCAGTTATGGCCGTCTACACCCCCTGCCACTGATTGGCACAGGAGAAGACATGTGACCCCGATGGCCAATGAGACAGGGAGAGTCTGCTGGGTCTGTGGGGAACTGTTTTCCTCCATGAAGAGAGACATTTGGGAGGAGAAAGGCTTCCTGTTCTCTCACTGCACACACAGGGACCCCTTTATTTCTATTTGACCTCTCTGCCTGACCCCTTATTTCTATTTGGGGGGCTGTTGGGAAGGGTGTGATGCTGGAACTGCAGCAGCTATCTAGTCACCATGAGGACACATTGAGGACGGCAGAACGAAAGAACAGGAAGAGCCTTGGTCCTTGATGACACCTGTGAGCTGTTAAACTAGCTTTGCCACCCACTCCCTTCAGGCACTTGTCCAGTATAAATATACAAGGCCCTGCCCTGGCCAGTTTGGCTCAGTGGACAGAGTGTTGGCCTGCGGACTGAAAGGTCCCAGGTTTGATTCCAGTCAAGGGCATGTACCTTGGTTGTGGGCACATCCCCAGTGGGAGGTGTCCAGGAGGCAGCTGATCGATGTTTCTAACTCTCTATCCCTCTCTCTTCCTCTCTGTAAAAAATCAATAAAATATATTTTAAAAAATAAAATAAAAATAAAATAAATATACATGAATTCGTGCACCAGTGGGGTCCCTTGGCCTGGCCTGTAGGATCAGGCTGAAACCGTCTCTCTGACATCCCCTGAGGTGTCCTGAGAGAGGGTGCAGGCCAGGCCGAGGGACCCCACAGGTGCATGATCCGGGCCAGGGAGGGACTCGGGAGGTTGGTCAGCCAAGGAGGGACCCCAGGAGGGCTCCAGGGTGTGTCTGGCTCGCTCAGTCCCAATTGGCCGGACCCCAGCAGCAAGCTAACCTACCGGTTGGAGCGACTGCCCCCTGGTGGTCAGTGCATGTCATAGTGAGCAGTTGAGCAGCCTTAGCATATCATTAGCATATTACGCTTTGATTGGTTGAACGGACCACCAGATGACCGGACACTTAGCATATTTGGCTTTTATTATATAGGATGTACTTATGATTCGAGCCACTGCCAGTTGGTTTTTCTGTTACTTGTAGCCACATGCACCCTGATTGGTACAGGGGATTTGATTTGGGAAAAAATTAAGGTGTGTCTAGAAAGAGGGAAACTGAGCACAGTGTAGAGGATCCAGCTGAGGATGAGGATGTTATAGTGGCCTACACGGTCCCCCCACTGGATCCCCCACTAATTCTCTGCTGTCACCTCTTACTACTCTCACTTGCTCACTCTACCCCAGCTACACGGCCTTTGGCAGTTGGTCAAACATGCCAGGCACATGCCCACCTCAGGGGCTTTGTACCTGGAATGTGCTCCTCCAGATGCCTACGTGTGTCCTCTCTCACTCCTTCAGGTCTTCACTCAGAAGTCACCTTTTTGATGAGATCCTCTCTGGCTATTCTCTTCAGATTGAACCCCCTCCCAAGTCTCCTTATTTTCCTGCATAGCATTTACTATATATTTTGTTTATTGTCTCTCTTCACCAGAATGTAGCTCCATTTTATTCATTGATGTATCCCCTAAGACCTAGAGTAGTGAATATAAATGGTAGATGTTCAATATATATATTTGTTGGATGGCCCTAGCTGGTTTGGTTTAATGGATAGAGTGTCGGCCTGTGGACTGAAGGGTCCCCGGTTCAATTCCAGTCAAGGGCAGGTACCTTGGTTGCAAGTTCCTGGCCCTGGTTGGGGACATATGGGAAGCAACCAATCGATGTGTTTCTCTCACATTGGCGTTTCTCTCTGTCTCTCCCTCTCCCTTCCACTCGCTCTAAAAATCAATGGAAAATATCCTCAGATGAGGATTAAAAAAATAAAAATAAATAAATAAATATTTGTTGGATGAATGAATGAATGAATGAATGAATGATGAATTTGTAGGGACTCCAGGTCTGGCAGGAAGGTATCATTTTTCTCCTGCTGACCTCAGCAGCCTAAAGAATAAAAGCAACCTGCTGGACTGATTCAGGGGGCAGGTGATAGACAAGGGCTGGGAAGGGCTTCTGTGGTTATGAGGATACTCCCTGTGGAGCATGGGGGGTGGGGCCTGGATCTGGCCCTTCCTGCCAGCCTGTCCCCCCACACAGAGAGCGCTCTGCCCTGCCCGCCTCCTGGGTGATGTTCCTGTTCCAGACTCTGCCTTCTACCTGGAATTCTGACTCACCCTTGCTGCTTAGCCGTGCACCCTGTCTCCTGGGGCCCAATCTCCCTTTCTCGGAATGCCTGTATGCGGAAACTGCTTCCCTTCCAGAGTTCTCACTTGTTGCCTGTTTGTTTGATCTCCAACCCAACTGCCAGCCTCAATCTTGCCCTCCCAGGCTCAGGGGCAGCCCCCAAACAAGGCTGGGCCCGGGGAACACGGGGAACCCCGTAGGGAAAGGTCCTGTTATTTCAAGGAGACAGGTTTAGAGACAAGTCTTCCTTTCAGGGATTCCATAAAATGGCACTTGCCCACCACCCTCGTTTCTCTGGGGAGGAACATACGCTGTCACACGCGTTGTCACATTTACTCTTCCAAGAACCCGCTGAGTGGGTGCCATTACTGCCACATTCCAGATGAGAACACTGTGGCCAGAGAAATGCCGGAAGCTGCCTGGAGCCGCAGTTAGACAGATGCAGAGATGGGCCTGCGGGGGAGGGGGCCTGTGCTTTCCCAGGGAGGAGGGAGAGAGCACTCCCTTCCCCCTTCTCCGCCAGCCTCCCCGCTCTCCGCACATCATAAACACCAGAACCCCCGGCTCTGGAGAGGAAGCCAGAACCTGATCTGTGTATTTTGCAGTGAACAAAGGCGCGGGAGCTCTTCCTAACAGGCTTGCTGGAGGCACCAGCGTTTTTATCTGTGGCCTCCAGTCTCCCTCCCGTCTCTTTGAGGTTGGAAGGGATCAGACAGCCAGCACGCCCCTTCCCACCTCCTTCCTGGATTCCCCTGGAGTTAGCCGATCATTGCTTAGCTGCCTACCCTGCTGCCTGGGGGAAGCTCAGACTTCTTCCTCTGACATTTCACGTGCCTGGATCCCCGCAGCTCCCTCCTCCAGGGCCACAACTTCTCACCACTTCCCCGGGTGTGAAGCTGGACTGAGGGCCGGGGGCAGGGAGCCCCGTGGAGAGGCAAGGCCTTCCCAGAACAGCGGTGGTTTCCGGTGCTGTGCAGGGGACCTTCCCTTTGCCCGTTCAGATCCGCACCCCGCTTCCAACACCTGCTCCCCGGCCCAGATGGCTGCCATCTCCAGGGCTCCGGGTGGGTTTGGGGGAAGGGAGAGGAGTGAGGACAGGGAATTTATTTCTTTAGTTCCCTCTGGGCGGTAAACTAAGGAGGCTT